ATATGTTTTTTTCAGATGGACCATATCATATAGAGGGATGTCTGAATACAAATTTTTGTGGTAAGCCACATTAACTCTGTGACCTCCATTAAACACATGCCCCCTTTTTTATTGCCACATATTTTACAAATTTTAAAGTGGAAATAGGGTTTGGCCAACAGTCACTCTATTTTCTCTACTTAATCCCAAAGCCAGAGAGTTTTTGTGCAGTAACATACAGAATTGGAGCAAAAGGATTTTTTTTAGTGAATCATGTACTCCAAAAAGGAAAATGTAGAAGCACTGAATATTGAGTGTAACATACCATATAAATGTCAATGTTTTCAAAGAATTTGTAGTAACCAAAGAGCTTTGTGACTAAAAAGATTTGACTTGAGGTCTGTAGCACAATTCTCTTTTCTTTTTCCTTGAAAGAAGTAATTGATTTGAGAAGCTGGAAAAGCACTTCTCTAGAAAGCCTATCTGTTAGGATGTGCCTGCCTGTGAGTTGCAGATCCACTGCATAAAGGTTGGAGAAAAGGAAGTGATCAGAGGATATAGTGAAAAAAAAGACCAACACAGTATTAAAAAGTACAAAATAAGACATTGCTCAAATTGCTGAAGCTAGAAAGAAGTTTTACTGGAAACCACTCCATTTGACCTTGCTTCACCTGTGTTTACAGACTGGTAAAGGGAAGTAAAAGGTTAATTACATCCACCTGTACCCTTTCCAACTGAAGGGCTTCTTTAGGATTTGGAGRCCACTGATTGTTTCTCTCTTAAGCATATGGAGGGAAAGTGAAACAATGCAAAGAGCATTGTACCTTGACTCCAGTTACTTCTAAACCTCCCTCCACACAAGAACTGAAATGAGAGTTACTGATAAGGGCCTATGAAAGAGTCTTTCACTTCAGGACAAGGGAGAATCAAGGATGGGAACAAGAATTTTGAGTTATGTGATCTATTCTCTGATTTCTTTCAAGGTTGCATAACAGCATTTTACAGAGAGTTCACAGCAAAGTCGTGGGAAACCCTATATATGTAAATTTAAGTATCTGCTGTCATCTTTATTCCTTGTTTCATTTCTAACTCCATCTTTCTTGAGATGACATGGCTGGGTGGCCTGTTATTCCACATCTCTGATTACAGTATTTTCTCTCCTGTTTCCCAACTCTCTTTTATTTCATATTCCATTTACTTTTTCCTGACTTCACCTTGGATACTCGTCTCTATCAAGTTGTGTACAATAGTTCCAGTGTGARTCTTTTCCTTGAAAGCTCCGCCGAGTGCAAAGCCCATCAACATAAGCCAAAACTTGCCAGTGAAAGATCATTTAGGCACAACAACTGATACTGAACAGCAAGAAAATGTGAGAAGCATTTTTTTTTTCAGGATGCACATCCTCAGCAAAAGAAAAATACATTTCAATGTGCAAAACTGTACTTACCAAAGATTACATTATTTCCCAGTAAGGGTCATAGCAATGACTCATATGTTCCCCACCTTCTCACTTTTAATTTGATCTCATATATATATATGCAATTTATCTGCTCACTATTTTATGCATATGTGTTTCATTGTAAATTGACAATACAAGAGGAAGAAAGGAGAATGATTGAGAATGTCCTCCACCTAAGTTGTATTAAATCTCATCAGTTAAGAAGGAATAGACAACACACCAACACTTCGGAATAACTTGAGGTTGTCCAACATACATTAGCTGAGGTAATTCCAATGGATTTAACTCCCACTTCTTCTCACCTCCTGAGGCCTCAACAGCTTATGCCTGCTGAATACAAATGAGAAAAAAATTGAGGAAAACCACTTTACTATGTCAGTGAAGTATCCAGTTTACAGTACATTGCACTAGTAAGAACATAAGTATGTGGTATTTGAGAGTAGCCTATCACTTKATGCATCAAGCTTTCTGCCTCCAGCCGTTGATGCTACTCGGTATTTCAGAGGAAGGTGAATAAATTGCTTTCCTTCTTATTGTACAAACAGTATTTTCCTCCAATATGGAAAATGCTTCTTTCTAAGAATTTCTTCCTCTTGCCCTGGCTAGAACAGGTTTTGGAGCACCAGCTTTTAGCATCCAATTTGACCTCTCTTTCAAGTTATATTCATGCCGGTACATGGACTTTGCTGAAGTTAATCCTTATTTACGCTGCTTTGTTACCTTATTTCATAAAGGCATTGTGAATTTCATTAAGTTTGTTAATTTCCTTCCATGTCTTCAAAGATAGACATTCTACCTGTTTTTAAGTGCTTTTTCAGTACTAAGCTCTAAATGCTTATGGTCCTCATTACACCTATTGCTGGCATATGCACATGGAGGCCTAGGTACACAAGACGGGAAGGATAGCCTAGCAGATGAGCATGCTGGACTGTTACCAAGGTAATCCCAGTTTTAATCCTGCCTTGTAACTGACTGGATTTAGAACCCTTTGTGTGTTACATTGATTTGCTTTATCTCAATTTCTCTACCTGCAGCATAAGAATCCTTAGGTTTTTTTCAGTTTGCTTTGAAATGATTGGGTCTTATGGTTGCTACTGAGGGTATTGGATGCCTAGTTATGAAATTCAGGTTAGGATAGGAATTTGTGTATTCATTTAGTATTTYCGAACTACTGAGAATCCCACTAGATTTCTACTTGGTAGATGAAATAAAAAAATCCAAATTTCACAATCTTATTATTGTACCTGGAAAATAGTTATCGTTGAAAGTGCAAAGAAAATATATTCTGAAAGATATTTAATAAAGGATTTTTGCAGCTGTGTGATATGCATAGAAGCTTAGCATGAAAGGCTGAGAGGACATTATATTGTGATTATGGCCCACTTATAAAGTTTATCTTCATTTGCTAAGATCTGTAACAACTTAAGTTTTGAAAAACATATTACCTTTGAAAAGTTACTAATCAGCTGCTATGGGAATACGTTGAATATGTCCATTTCTAGAAACATTTCCTGGTGTATATGTCCACGTCCATGTCACATCTTTAATGCATGAGACTCTGTGCAATTTATGGTTTGATCTGGAAAGTTTGCTTCCAAATTGACTTAACTATATAGTCTTCGCTCTTTCCTGGAATTGAATGCAGTGGGTAAGAAAGGTATAAAGATAATAGAAAGGTATAAAGATAACTAATTAACTGGAACAGATTTATAGGAGAGAAATTTGTTCAGAATGTACTGGTTAGAGATTCATTAATCATACTGAATAAGAAAGTAATGTATTCTGTCTTGGATTGTGTTTTAAAAGCAGCTATATAGAGATTAAATGGAACACTACATCCTCAAATTCTAGATTATTCTGATCAACTGAKATGTCCTGAAGCTACAGTCACCAGTGGTCTTTCAGAATGTTACCAAACTGCAAAATATCTCCACTCATTCATGTGACTGCATTGTTTATGAATGCCCAAGTAATAGGAATGAATTCATATATAAAACAATGCAGAAGAAATCTCAGTTTATCAAGATGGATTTTTGGAAAGAGCACTTTGACATATTTTAGTAATTATTTAGTAAATACATTGCTTAGGGAGTTTCAGGCACAACTTGTTATTAACTGCAATGGGGTTAGGTTGGGTTTCTGACTTAGTATTTGTAAAAGCATAAACCTGAAAATTTCCTAAACTTCCTAACCATAAGGAGATCTGCAAGGGCAAATCAGTTTAGCAATGACAGCTTTCTAGAGGACTGATCAGCAGAGAGGCAGAGGCCATAAAACAGATGAGCTTCTTTATGCCTGGTCATTGCTTTAGCCAGCTGAAAGATGATTAAACCTGTAGCTAGGGTGGGTAGTAGCTGAAGACCCAAATAAAATTCTAATGAGGTGGATGACCTGATTTCACGATAAAAAAAAATCAAAACAAAACAACAATGACAGATTTCCCACTGAAGGCATTGACTGGCATTAACTGGCAACATGATTTAAAGTAAGTTTATGGCCTTCATATGATGCAATTCAGGATRTATCATATGCATCCTCCCTTCTTAGGAGATATGCTGTTTTGCCCATGCTAAGGATGTGACATACTGTTTCTCTGAAACTCTATTATCTTCTGTGAGCATAAAAGGGAAAAAAATGAGRTCTTACATATTATTGTGATGGATGTCATTAGTTTCATGCAGCAGCTGCTGAACATCTGATGCATTAGCTGTACTAACTGTGGGACAGGAGGAGTTGCTATAGGCTCTTTAAAGCTTGCAATAAATTTGCGCTCTGAAGAGAGTTAGCTCTCAGATTTATTTAGTCATGACAGTAAAGGCCCATTGACTTTAACAAGGACTTTAGGATTTTGTCCAGAGTAAACCAAGGAGATGTAGCCGATGTCTTGATCTGACTAGGAAAYAGTCTGCTTCTTTATGGCCTTTCTTTTCAGAAGAATAAATTCAGCCCTTTTCCTCTTCAGCTGGTGATTCATGTTTTCTATAGAGAGACAATGATGTTTTTATTACTCTCCTATATGGGGTTTCTAAAGCAACTATCTATTTGTCTGTCTGTCTCCCTTTTTTCTTTTCTTTCTTTTCTTATTTATTTATTTATATTTAAACTGGCAAGAAGTCCAAATCTAAACAACCCATAGTTTATCTTTCAGATAAAATTAAATAGACTTTATTTATGTTTATATTGTGTAAAAACTTACTTTGTCTAGATTTACTGGGATATAAGAAAGGTAATGAAAGCTATYGATTGTGTTTAAGAAGTGATTTTGTGTCAATTGATCTAAACTTCTGTATTTACTTTTYTTCCCTTATTTTATTCAACTTTTTAAAACGAACTTAGGTTTGTTAAAGTACGAGTCAGCAAGTCCTGGAGATGAAAATCCTCAATGTAGTCACAGATCGTAACAGAGAAAGCTTATGTTGAAGCACAGCTTTCAACTTAACCACCTGTTGCTGACATAACATTTGATCATTTTGATCAATTTCATCATTTGATCATCAATAGGCCTTTATTGCCCTGATGAGCTTCACCCGAGACCTGCACTCACAAATGCAAGAGATTTGCTCATTTAAGCCCAGGCCAGGGTAGCATATGTTTTCTTCTAGATAGACCTCMCTCTGTTGTTCCTGATATGCCAACAGAACTTCCTGGATTCTTCRAGTCTGACTAGTTACCTTGCTTTTTGTGTGGTGGTTATTAGATTGCTGAATGATCTATTGCTCTCACTACTGCTGCTTTGCTAACTGTGATTGGGTACTGAGGAGCAATGACTGCTGGAGGAATCTGGAGATCACCTCAATGCCTGGTTCATCTKATTTGTTGGGAAGTGATGCTCTTGCTGCACTGAGACAAGGTACCTTAATCTTCACAGGTTATTTCTCTCTGGACTTTTCAGATCTTTGTGGAAAAAAGTCTATTCCCTCTACTATATGTATTTTATAGTAGCACAATCCAATATGTTGTTTACAGCCTTATGTTAATATGATACTGGTACTTGCATGYTAGTACTTAGAGCTATGCTCCTTTTTTTCTGGAACCAATGTTGGATGTGCTGTTGTGAGTGACATCAACACATCAAATTCTCTGTTCATTCACATTTATGCAGTCATGGCATATGCCATGCAGTCATAGACTAAATACCTCTTTAAAGTAGCTCAGGTAACCTAGAAAAYGTTGTTTCCTCCAAGGCTACTCCTGTGCATCTGGCATGAGAGAAATGTAGAAGCATTTCACTTTTTTCCTTCTTTTTCCACACTGCTGAAATGTGTTAGAACTCTCACCCATCAAGTCAATGTGTTCAACTTTATTCTAGTGAACAGCCCCACCAAAGGGAATGAGACTGCCCAGGTGCTTACGTTTGAGCACATGTCAGTACTTTGATAGTTTGAAGATTAAAATATGAACTATTATTACAGATCCAAAGACAATTAGGAGGTATCAGAAAGATATTGAAAAACTGGTAAAAAATAACAAAGATGCCTGCTGATATATGGAATATGGATTTTCTTAAGTGTTAGTAAGGTAAATTGAGATGTTCATATAGGCATGTGTAAAGGAAGCCACATAAAGCCAAATGCATATCACTTTGAAATTAAAAATGAAATAACTGAATTTATGGAATATTGAATCTGAAATTGGGTTATAAAACTAAGTCTCTGTATCTAGTGACAAATTGCAGGAGACCAGGCAAAGGTTTCTGTAGYGTTTTCCTCAAAGTCACTATTTCTTTAACTTGGTATTTCTGTCATGTTTCTTAATTCAACCATTATTGTATTCTTGTTTTCTTGTTTTCTCATGATCTTTATCATATTGCTGTGAGTGAATGTGCACATTTTTTACTGGTTTTGGTAGTGCTCTTGTTCCCTTCTGCTCATAATTGTTAGTTGGCAGATGAAAGCTGCTGTATAGTCATTACTCCAAACTTTTCATGAGCTCATGTAGCAAACAGCAGTGGTAAAGAGGGTTCCACTCTAGCRAACCCCAATACACTCTTCATCCACGTGCAAATTTGGAGGGAGCTTGATATAATTATAGTTTTGCATAATAATAAATCACTTTTGCTGGTGGAGGATTAACTCAAGAGATGCTATTATCATATGTAAGGGGTTACCTTTCCAGTAGAAGCAGACAAATGTTTATGAAGATATGTTGTTTTGGACTGGTAAATATTTGCCCGAAGATTAATGTTCATAATTCCCAATTTGCAGTGCAGAAAATATTCAGAGATACTAATCAGCCTTGGTGGCAGGATGGGACTAATGACATTTCACTTGCTGTGAGCTGTGATGGTAAGCCCTGTTCCCAGAAGGAGCTGCTGCAGCAAATACAGAGCTTATTTAAAGACTGTGCACCAAATTCTGATGCWTAGTGGTACAGCTCCATCAAGTCATGTTTATGCTTCCTGAGAATTCAACTCATTAATTGTATCTTACTAAAGCTCCTGTTAATCTGATTTGGAGAACAATCTCTCTTACATTTTTACCTATAGTTTGTGTTCTAATTAATGGTCTGATGGGATATGAGAGAGTTTATAATGGGGCCTGATCTGTCTTTCTTACATTACTGTGAAATCAGGAATCGGATACAAGACACTGTAATTTAAATGTTTTCATTTGCATTGATGGGAATCTATAAAATAATTCACATTTTTGTGGTCTAGCTCCCTAGTGAGCTAAATATTAAATTAATGGGCTTGTTCTATGAACCTTCAGATTACCTTGCTACATTGTCAGTCACTCCATTCAGCTATGCTATTCGACTGTTCCTATGGTATTTTTGATGGCTTCCTACTGCATCAGTTTAAGGCATCGCATAGAAAGAGTGTGCAWACCTATAGGTATGTATATCTATCTTATCCTCACACTGTTAAATCTGGAACCAGTTTGTTTCAGTTCAGTTGAACACAGGGAGTCAATTCCAGAATACTGTTTTCCTCCATCTCTCATAAAAAAGGTGTCGGCACAGAGGAACGAGCTTGTTAATGCTTACAATAAGACAAAAGCTTCAGCATGACCTCAACCTTTATTGGACAGTAGAGAGTCTCTGTACTGGTGGGGAAGAGGACAAAATGCTGTAAATACCTCAACTGTTGCATAAATTTTGGTCAGAATTCACTTCATGGTCATTTTTCCCTTTTATAGTTTTTTCTGGTRTATAATAAGGTGAATGCTGGAACCTCTTCTGCATGAGAACATGTTTCTTGTGTGTATGTTATAATATCTGGTAACAGCTCTGCTGCAGTTTAGATGTGGTTGATCAAGCACAAGACCATGCCCTTAGAAAACCAGACTTCTAGTTCTTGTGGGGATGTGCTTATATTCAAACGTCCAATTATTTTGCTTGAGACTTGCACTTTTCAGATGCCTTAATCAATGTTGATGGCTCTACCAAGCAGTTATGGACTGACTGAGAAAATTGGTGACTTATCCAAGCTCTGCAGGTGGGGAGGGGAAAAAAAAAAAAATAAAAGCTCCATCCAGCTTGGTCTTTCTGACACATTTCACTTGACTAGCCTTCATATAGGTGCACCATCAGAAGCTTTAATTACTCACACTGTGAATAGTTTCAATACCTCAAAGAGAGGGCATTTTTCCCTTCATTCTTCCTGAGTGATTAACTCTTAACTCTTTCAAAGATAGTGCCATTGAGAGAAGGTGCCCAGCCAAAGGGGTTTTGAAGGTTAATTGTCAATTAAAGAAAAAACTTTGTTAAAGGAAAGAACAAAAAATGAAAAAAAAGCAATTTAGACAAAATAATCTCTCCTTTGCATCAAAGTACTTAAGCTGTTTTGATTCAGTCAAAAATTAACTTAAACTTATTATATCTTGTGAAGTCATCAATGTACACAGCAGTGCTGAGGGAAGTATTTGATGTATTAAAAGAAAATATCAGAGGTCAAGGGGAGATGGTTTACTCTATGCTTTCTGCATCCCTGCTGATTGCCATTTACCATGGCTGTGGTGCAAACTAAAATAATAATACATCTTATTTTCAGTGAAGTTAGTGGCTGGCCATTTCCTTTAGCTGTCAGGCAAGAGTSTGCTGACTGACATCATTTAAGAGTAAGTTCTATAAAATGCATTAAAACTGACCCGAGTTGTCATGCATTACACAAAAAATAGATCGAGGTTTGTGAATATGAAAAGGTCATACCAGAGGAAACCTTTTAATGCTTCTGATCATTTGACATAGTCACTCAGTAAAACTATGTAAACATTTCCTAGATAGAATCTTAAATATTCTCCAGTATTTCTCAAGCATCATTTAAGAGCATAATGATTAATGACAGTAGAGGCAGCTTGAACTTGCTGACCCAGAAGTAGAAAACAGCCTATCCTGTTTCAAAAGTATCAATGTCTAATTGTGCTAACTTGTCAAAGGTGCTGTTTGTCTTGACATCAAAAGACAATCATGTTAAATATTTGAATGATACAAACTGCAGTGGAAATGTAAGCAAGTGAGTTCTTAGGAAAGTATATTTAAGCATGTGAATTTATTATGTTTAGTTCCCTGTGTTTTAACATAGTACTTCTACATTTTTCTTCCATGTTTCTTCTATCTGTTTACAGCTGTCCTCATAGCTTGAAGAAAAACAATAGGGACCCCATTGTGGATTTAGAGAATTCCAAGACACTTCTCTCAAGGTGAGAGATTAACTCCTAGATTATTAAATTAATAGTTACATCTTTTCTTCCTGAGATTGTTCCTTAAATTTGAATTATACACGATATCTTTCACTTACTCATTGGACCATGCAGCTTCTTTAAAGGAACCTTTATATGCAGAATTACCTGTACAGAGACTTCCAAGAGCATTTAAGTGGCCATTTTGCAAGTGCTTCATCATGAAAATGTTGTAGCAAAAGCCTAAGCACAGCAGGAGCTGTGTGTGTCRGATTGGGGAGAGAAAGGAACAGACTGGCACAGGTCTTCCACAGGTGCATGAAGTTTATTCTTGGTGTGTGCAAAGCATACAGCTCTGGAACAGTGAGTGTAGCTGCCTCTGAATATTGTAATCCATCTATTTGCTGTTCCTTAAGGCTTACACTTCTGTGGACAAAACAAAACCATACAGTGATCTGATTTAATTTTCCTAACATTTCTTTCCCTTGGGAAGAAAATCATCTCTGGCCTTGCAGTGGATATTACAGCTGGCTTGTAAAATAAGATAAAAGTCAGAATTAAGACTGAGTGGGTGGTGGCAGATCCAGATGGCTAACTGAGCCTGTGAATGAATCTACAGCCTTGTTTACTGCCTACAACATTTCCAAATGTGATATACACCACATTTGCTGRATCCTTTGATTTTAATCATTTTTGATTGCCAGTATACTATAAGACCTATTGAAGAAGAGGGGRAAAAAAAGGCTTTTTTTTTGTACTTTTTCTCATAAAATCTGGCAACATGCCCCWGTGCTGTAAATTTAAAGTCTCTAACCTGCTGATTGTAGTGCTCTTAAGAAATGATTATTGGCAACTCTGAGCTGGAGTGTATAACTATGATATGTTCTTAATAGAACAACAAGCTATAACATAAAAGAACTGTTAAAAGGAGGGCAGGTATCTGTATATATCACTGTAACTTCTTAATACCTCTGGCAAAAGCTAACTACTGCTTTTGTTCACTGTGCTTCACAGGTGTTGCTTTCCATTAAAAATCTTAAAAGGGTTAGCTGTGACTGCACTGTTGATTCATATAAGGCATGCTAAAGACAGTTTCTTCCTCTCTGTTCCTTCCTTTGTTACGCTGATGAAATATGTCTAAATTGCTTCTCCCTCAAGTTTGAAATTGATTTCAAAGCTTACTCCCTGTAAGCCCCTTTGCTCTTCATGGGACTCCTCCTACCTTCARTGTGCAGTGGAGAGTTGGTCTGCAGGTAGCTATCAGCCCATCTGTGCAGCARATTGTTTTCTTTGCCACCAGTGAGGCGAGGAATTTCAAAGGGCAGTTGTGAAGTGAAAGCAGCAAAATTCTGTCCTACAGAACTGTCTGTCCTGCCATTGTTGCCCTAGTGCCCCTAGGAAGGTTGTTCAAGCTTTTAGTTAGGGATTGCCAATTGTACAGCATGTCTTCTGAGACTCAGGTTTACAGTGGAACTATATACTTGCAAATCAATAGCAACTAGTAATTTTTGCATATAAGCTGATATATATTGCTATGTGCTCTGAAAAATGCTGTTCTAAACATTAGGTGCTTGCAATTATTTGTTTGTACTCTTTGCCATGATCTCAGGTCTTCATCCATAAAATAGAACAGACGGTAGTATTTATTTTGTGTATTATAGATGAGTCTGAACCCTTTGCATGATCCTTAACTCATCTGTTTGAATCCTCAACACAAGGCTGTCGTCCTTGAGCTAGTCGAGTCTAGTAATCTAGGTGAAATTCTTAAAAGAGAAACCATAGCTAGGCATGTTCTGTAAGCTTTGAATAGACTTCAATATGAGTCACAGTGRATAGAAAGTTGGAAAAGGTGGCTTGAGAAGGGCAGGAGTAGAGACTAGAACAAGAGTTTTTCCCTTTTTTTTTTTTCCCTTCTCTCTATTCTTCTGTTACCATCTCTGAGACTTTTTCCTACCTACAATATCAGACCTCTATTTGTTGATGAAAAATTTGGAAATTTTGGAGCGCGGTCATGACCAGACTTAGGTCATTGCTGTTTTRTGTAAATGTGTCATTACTTTTAACAACAATAAATCATTATTCTAGTCAAGCAAGGGTTCACACAGAGCAGGAACATGAACATGCACTTCTGCTATCTCCCAGAATTGCTGTGAATATCAGCTGAAACTTAGGAAGGGAGCACTAAAATGAAATTCAGGAAGAGATTAACAGTTCTCCCGAGCAGAGCGTTTATTACACACTGTAAGTGAAATGCAAGGTTACACACTGAAAGTATGTATTTTGGAATAACAGCTCTGTTTTATGTATTGAGACAGATCTTCATTATGGAAGAAACTGGTGTGATCCTTAGACTACAGTGTACAACTTCAGCAAAAGGAAAAGATTTCATGCAAATTGGTTTAATTCAGGAACTCGATTATCAAAGACACAAGATAATTAAAACATTGTTTTTGTTTTATTTGACCAAGTTTAATACTAAAACACATGTGGAACTAAGACCTATTATAGCAATTTACTTTTAAATACTTAAATATTCATAAGATTTTTTTCATTTTGACTTTTAGAATGACAAGTCTCAATTAGTACTCCTTTCACTATGCATGTAATGAAATATAGCTTTTCTTTTTTACTCTATGAGAGTGAGACATCGCAGATATTGCACAAAGTGCACAGTGTCAGTAGTTTCCTACCAATGAAGTACTTCGAAGAACAGTTTATCCTCCAAGCATTCCTTAAGAACAATTACTTCGAGTGGCAACACCTGGATGCAAGTATTTCCTTAAAGATGTAAATAATTTCTTAGCAATATGTTCATGATTAACTGCATATTTAATGTAGCATTGATTCTTCTGAAATTAATTTTATGAAAAAAACTTTCCCACACTTAAAGAAAATGTAATATCAGTATCCTGCAATATCACCTCTGTCCATGTATTATCCACTGTGTACCTTTATTGGATGAAAATACAGGTATTAAAGCAACTTGTTGAATTCTATAACAACCTCCTTTTTTCCACTTAGCAGATTGATGTCCGAACTAACACAAGTCGTATTTGTTTTAAGTTTCACTCATTTTTTATTTATGAATTATTCACATATGGATTAAATATTTTATCTTATGCACTTGTTATTACTGAATGCTCACTGAGATGTTACATTGACAGTTATTTCTTGTATATTTGCTTTTGATATTCAGTTTTTAAGTTGTGCAATTTGTCACTTAAACCACATGGAATGCATCTTTTGCTTTTTGGTAAGATTATGCTAATTGTTTTTTTGATGGCAGAAAAACAAATTACATTAAAGAACATCTGAGATTCACAATCACTTGTATTTATCTTAATACCATTTGAAGGGCATATGAAACATGCTATAAAGTTCCAAATCCTTATAAGCAATCTTAACAAAAAATTAAGAAGTGACTTTTAACAAACAGAACTAAGGCTGTGGCTGTCTGTTATTTAAATAAATGAATGAGCTAATACATTTTCTTCCATYACTGGACTTAAGCTTAAAATATGCTTAAGGAGACAAAAACATTGATTTCTGGAAAGTCAGCTTTGATTGTAGAGCTTTAGATATGTAGAGGTTTTACATATTTAGAAAATGTTCAAACTAGGATGTGAATATTGAGCATAAGCTCTTTTTGAGATAGTGATGTGGTGGTTAGGAAATCTACAAACCTGTATTTTCTGTGTATTTATCATTACTGAGAATGATAGGCCAAATCTGACAGGTACTTTAAAATTTTGCCACGTGCATTCCATAGATAAGCAAAAAGGAGCTGAGAGACATTGATTTATTAATGAAGGCAACTCAATATTCATGTCCTCACATTTCTCAATGAAGAAAAACATTGACAGACATAATAGTTTCTCAATAAGTACTAGGGAAACACCATTGAACATATAAGTTATCCCTTAAAAGCATGTGCCCACACACGGTAAGTATTAAGAAAGCCATTCCTTCTACTGGCAGATTTAGCACTGACAGATGGTATCTAGTCATCTATACATTGACTTTCTATCAAATGGATAGTGTTTAAATATATACTGTAGGCAAATTAGTTTTATTGATGTTTCAATAATTAAAAATGTGGAAACCTTGAAATTAAATCTTGAACATAGCCATGCATTTAAAGTAATAGATGATGATTTAATAAAAGTAAATTTATTTGAAATGCTATTATTAAAACTTCCATTCAGAGTGTGAGAAACTCTTTCGTCTGCATGAATTAAGCTAGAGCATGAAGTTTATAATGGTTACACAGACTACTTGGACTATGTTTAGCATCATTTATCCTCTTGGCTACAGTGACTGAACAAGAGTAAGTATTGCGTAGACTGGTTATTTCAGGAGAACAAGTTAATGACAAAGGCAGGAATGTGCCTGGCATTGTCCTATTTATTTTCAAAGAATACATAAAATACAGTTTCCTTCAACACAGAAGAAATAAAACAGCAGGACAGTGTTACTAAACTTCTTTTGGTTCTGTTCTTCTGTTGCAAATTTCTTCCCTGGCATGTGTCAGTTCAAGCAATTTGTACTCCTTGCCTTTTTTGAGTTTTTGGTCTGTGTTAGTTTGCCTTTACAGACCAGACACATTTGAAATCTGACTTAGATGATAAGCAAATATGGAAAAGGTTTGTCATCTGAGTCCTCTTGATTTGAGGTTTTTTGTTACCTGGGTTCAATGGGGAGGTTATATCTCTCTTGGTCATTGAAGTTTGTTTATTTGACTTTTAATATCTTGGAAAGATGTATGAAGTAGTGAGATGTTAGATTATGTTTGCAGAGATCTGTTGAGATAGAAGTGTGATGAAGCCTCTAAATGTGCTGTGCTATAATTCATGATGGAGGTTGACTGAACAAGTCTCCTGGAAGGTTGCCAGGATGGGATAACAACCGTGACCTTGATCTTTAAAGCTCTGCTCTTCTCCAGCTAAATGGCAGACTGCCTTTACAGAAGATTTGGCCAGCTGCTGTTTTCAAGGAGAGGCAACACTGAGATCTGCTGGGCATTGGTGGAGCTGGGCAGATGCTTCCGCTATTTGCCTCTTCCATTCACTTCGCTTTCCTAAGTGAGTCTCTCTTTTAAAGTTCTTCATCCAAAAGTAAGGGTCACACATCAGAGCCGTAGGCTAATTATAATGAAGAGCCTGAGCAGTTTAATTCTCCCATGGCATAGTAGTCAGTGTAAGCACTAACAGCAAGATATAGTAGAGACAATTCTCACTCTCCCACTGCCCATGATTTTCCTCTAGCTGTATTCTGATGCCACTACAATTGTTAYCTTCTAAAACATCCTATGTTTGAGGATAAATGATATCAACTAAGCMGAGTGTGATGATGTTCAAACAAACAATTTAAATATACTGCTCAATTGTGTTTTAAAATGTTTTCATTCTCAATTTTATTTAATATTCTTTGAAATTCATAATTAACTTTCAATATCTTTTCAAGCCCTTTACTTCCAGTGGAACAACTCCCTCATATGAACTATTWAAAAAAAAGAAAATTAGATTTTTWAAAATTTGCTGATTCATAATGTTTCCAAGTATTTTTCTGGCAGTTACTGATAAATAAGCATTAATAATGCAAAGTTCCGGAATGGAAAATAGCTACATTCACAGGCTCACACATATACATCCTTAGTAATTAGTGATCCAATAGCTCTGCAATCTGCATTTTTGTGTCAGTCTGTCCTAGTCCTGAATATGACAAGTGCCAAAGACATTATTCTGTTAACATTGAACTATTAAATTCACCTTTTAGACAATCCTTAATACTCATTAACAGAACACTGTGGATTTTTTTAATGTTTATGGTTAAAGAGTTTTTATTTTGCTGTAAATTCTTGGAACAATCTAGCACTTTCATTCTGAGCATCTCACTAGACTGTAGATGTGACTGAGCCAAACTTTATTATGGTCTCATAAACAGAAAATAAATGTTATGGTATGACAGGTGATGAGGTAGAAGCATAAGGATTTTTGGAGTTAGATGCACACAGTCATGCATATATTGCTGTGTACAGGTCTCAGTGAACCGTTTCTGCAATTGTTTCTCATTCCCTCCACCAGTGAAAGCTTGTGTGCTCATTACAGGTTAAGCCTGGGCACGAGTCGGGGTGTGCACAGCACATGCAGGAGTAGGAACTGAGCTATATCAGTGGGATAGATGCACTTAAGGATTATCTACCATTTTGGGTATCTGTCATAACAGATCTTTGACCTGGTGTTGGGTGTGATTAAAATAATGGGATTATGCTTTTGTTCCCAGCAGAGAAACTCCTGAAGCACCTGATTGTCACTTTTGAACATGCCTGGAGTTAGCGAAGTCTCAGCAGAGCTGTGTGATGACTTATAGGATAAAAATGTACTGAGGCTCATTACTGATATTTAGCCCTTATGATACTCAAGGATGACTGCAACTCAGCTATTTTATATTCACTATATCATTCATATTCTTAGCAAAGCTCATGTTAAATGCCTTTCTTTCCATGCAGTCTGCTCTTGAGACTATTTTCTTGTTTGAGTGTGTGTGTGTGTGTATATGTATATACATATATATATTTATAAAATATAGGAAAGGGAGATAATGTAAAGGTGGGTCCTTCTTGTTCATTGTAGTTTGCTTTTAAGTCAAAGATATTTCTTGTACTGTCAAAAACTATCTTTGAAAATTGTTTGTAGCATAGATCTCTTACATCTGTTGAAGCTGCCAAAGGCATCATTAAGAAAATTGTCTGTTATGTTCCATCTGAGGAATCTACACTTCCAGTTGTGATTTTAGAGCCATAGTTAGTGTGGTAAATGTTTCAGATGCGATCACGCGAGTCTTGTGAGACTAGTAATTAGTAAAATCAACTTTTTAGTTTGAAAATGGCCAAATGTGATCCAAAAACAACTAGGAGGAGCTAAATAATGAACTATATGCCTTAACACACTTGATGCTATGCACACTCTGAATGTATCTGTATAATTAGCTTTTTTAAAACATTTTTGAAGTAGCTGTAAATCCTTGAAACCATCTAAGATACTTAATTCTTGTTATATATCATAGCATGGCATCTGAATATTGTAGTATTAATTACTTAATCCTCATCACATTCCTGAGAAGAAAAGTATTATCTGGTCACTATTCTGGGTGAGCAAAAGTGGAGTACTAAATATTTTCCTCAAGGTCAATCATGAAACGTGTGAGAGTACTCCCTTCTTCTTCCATGTTCCAACTTAATAGTCTAATTGTTAACTCATCCTCCTTTAATTCCCATTTTTATGAAGAAAAAAATCTTTTTTCACAGTGATTGGTGTGAATCACAGTGAAGCAAGGGTTTGGCTCCTTCTGTGCTCAGATAGTGAGGAACCTCTGGACTGCTATAAATATATTTCTTAAATATTTAAAAAGTCTAAAATATTTTTTATGTTTATAAAAATAGTTAAAATACCCTTTGGTCTTTGACTCTGAAAAAGAGAGAAAAAAACCCTCTTACACTAATATGTTCTCTAATTGAAATTAGAACCGTTTGATCTGTGTGAGGAGGACCATCTCTGAGGCAATTTCTTTTGAGTATGAATTTTTAAATAAACTATGCAGCTTGACCACAGCAAGTACAAATGAACCAAAGGTACTTTACAGGCATGCATTCAGTAAAGGAGATGTATAATGAGAAAACCTCAAATAGAACTCCATATGATGAAGATTTAAAAAAAAAAAACAAAAAGAGAAAAAACCCTCAGAAAACAGATTTATTAAGAACTGAAAAACCTCACAACCTATTGAGTTGAGTGTTCCTATCAAAATGGCCCTTTAATAATAATCTTTTGTTGGATGCTGGGTGGAGTGCTAACTTCCTTCTGGGGATTGATTGAAATAACACTGAAGCTAATCAGTAATCAGACTTCTTATCCTCTATTCAGGACTTACTTTCGTCTGGTGTCAAGAGGGCTGTAGCAYGGTGACCCTGAAACAGTCCTCAACAGATTGCATGCCTTTATAAACTAGCTGTGCTGAATAGAGAAGATTGAATTGTTGGAAGTAGCTCACATCATGTAGTCAGCTTCAGAAAGTCAATATCCTTGGTATGCCTGGAAAATCTTGAATTGCCTATCACCCACTGGCTTGCAGTAGTAACCCTTTCAATGCAGCTTCACAGCATCCTCTCTAAATAGAACATGAATCACAGTCTCTGCAATTCACCAAATGGAGCATATGGCTCTAACTTTTGAAAATATTTTGACACAGATCTGATACAGAAACCTAAATGCTTTTGAGGTTCRGGGCTGTATATTCATTTTTAAGTTAAGCAGCCTCAGTGTTATATGTAGAGTGTGATAAATGAGATTTAGGTACATTAAATAACTGTTTCTGACACTAAGAGTATTGTAGTCCTTCAAGTAAGGTGGTTTGGTAATGGGCACTGAGTTGCAATTTAGATATATTATTCTTGTTCATATTTCAGAGCCAAAATTGAAGAATTAAAAATATTAATGATGTGTTCAACCTTTCACAAATCCTAATAGAACAAATGCTAGTTAGATTTAATGTTAGTTTTGACTAAGCTATCTCAGCTCACATTTTGTAGAATAATCAGAAATAACTGATTTTCTAGTATGATATTAGACAAGTTTGTTCAATGCACTTAGTTTTATGGCAGGTTTATATAGCTTTTTGAGCATTGTTCTGGAATAACAAGAATGTTCCAGAATAATCATATGATGTTCAAAATGGGAGACAAAATCAGAAAGCTGAATTGTGTCTTTACTTGTACATGTGCTTTGAAAGGAGGAGGAGGTAAAGAAAGCTTATATGGAGGTGATAGTCCTAAACAAATTTTCAATGATAACAACTGGACTGTGTTAAGGAACAGTAAAGCATGTTACATCAGTGGCCAGGCTCAAGTGGGACAGAGGGACTGAGACCCTTCAGATGGGCAAGGATCATAAGAAATGATTGTCAAGGGACAATAAGATGGGCTCCATATCAAAATCCTGCTATTGTTTTTCCTTTTTCATGCTTACATGAATGAATTTAGACAGAAGGAAGCTCTTAAATATCATGTGGAATGAATGAAAGCTAGTTTAGCACCAGAGGCTGAATAGCTCTGTTCCATTTTGTTCAAACTAATATGCCTTACTTTAAAAAAAAAAAAAAGGGGGCAAGATGCATTAGGGAATAAATGGAGCCTTGGTTTCATCCACTGCCTAGTGCAGCAGTTGGACAGAGTGGTGAAAAAGATTGTCCTGGGCTTTTTAAGGACTAAAGTGGGATTTCTTTCTGAGGACGGCTTTGAAGGGATCATATCCTGAGGAACACTGAAAGCTACTATTGTCACCGTGCTCTTATGGGCAAAGCTGCCTGTAATGCATTATTCAGGAGCAGAGCTGGGGGAAACTCTCCAGGCAAAAGATTTTCTCTGTGAAAAATGCATCTGCCTGAAACAATTCACAAATTCATGTTGAATTTCTCGTAGTGTTTAAACTAGAGAAATGGGCAGGAAAGCAGAAAATACTAAGGACTTCCATTTCAAAATGATGCTTCCATTCAAAATGTGCCTCAGTTTAAGGAGAAGCCGTTCTTTTGCAAAAATCAAGCCAAATGAAATCATTTATCAGCTTGAGAAAGTAATTAATTTAAACAATTTATTTCAAGATCAAGAAAGGGAAGAAAAAAATGACATCAACATGAAATAACTCCCTTCTTGATTTTTTTCAATCTGAAATATGAATGATCACTCAACTGTGTTAAAACCTGTGTTTAAAGACTTAGACTAGCTCTATTTCATACTTATATAATCAGATCATAGTAACTTGTTTCATTTTAAAGTGAAAAATATTTGCAAAAACAATATAAAATTTCTGACTAAAAAGTTCCTATATTTCAAACTTATTTCAAACTTTCAGAACTTATATCTTATGCTACTAACTCAAGACTGCCAGCTGCACAGTTGTTAGCTATTTACAATAAAATCAGTCCCATTAATTTGCTAATGAATTGATATTGACTTTACTTTTTGAGAGCTGGCAAGGTTTCAAAAGTCATTGTTACCTCATTTCCAAAATGAACATCAAGGCACTTTGCTTACTGCATAAAATGCAAAAATCAATTAAAAAAATGTAATTGGTATAATACCACCTGGTTTCAAATAACGTTCATGGCACCAGATCTAAAACTCTTGATCCACTCTCCAATTAAGAATGAAAAGTGGATGATTCTTTCTACTTACTAATGTGTTGTACATAAAATAATAGTAAATAAAAATCTAGAAGCAAGTTAGAAAAAATAATAAACATAAGAGCACAAGAGCTAAACTGAAGTATCCAAGAGTAACAGTTCTTATGGGTATTTTCCCTCTCTAAGAGTTCCTTTTCTGAGCTATATGAAGAGGTTGCATAAAAAGGATAAAAGAATGTGTGGAAAAGAAGAAGAAAAAAAGTGTCTCCACGAAGCAAGTCAGCAAGTAAAAAATGAAAGGTCTCCTCAGGGTTAATATGTTTAGAGAAAGCTTTCTCCACATTTCTGTGCAGCTAGTGCTAGCAAGCCAAGAGAGAAAATTGTGCTATTAAGAGTTTATGGAAACCTCATCACATCAGAGGTTAATTTTGATGGTCTCAGAAAACTTCTGGAATTTTGAATGTTGCTTTGAACCATCCCTTAACAATGACAGTTCTGAATCTTGACCATTACCACAAGCTGACTAGGATGTAGCCACTGGATGATAAATGGCAATAGATTTCCTGAGAGGATTTTGAAGCAGTATAATCATTCAGCTTTGCAAAGGAAACTAAAAGAATTTCTGAAAAATGGGACAATTGCTTTTGCCTGGATCTACTGGCCATGAACCTGCCAGAACATCACAGTGGAGCCAGGCGCTTTGGTAGCATAAGCCATGAGCTTTGCGGTTTCTGGGCTTTGCAGTCTGGATTCATCCCTCTTAACTTTAATCAGTTAGTTGAGGATTGGTTGTTGGTTATTCTCTCCCTGTGTCATTRCTGCCAGGAAGCCCAAGAAGTTGGTTTATCTCCAGTGTCTAACAAGCCTAGGATATCTCAGCCGTAATGTGGATTTCATTTCTCTGTCAGTCTGCCATGCAGGCTAGCAGAAAACTAAGTAAACATCTTCATAAAGTAAAATTTCAGTATGATTTTGTTTAAATCTTGAAATGTTTAGATGAACTGAATAAGTATGCCAAGATATATTTTTATATATTTTTTTTTGCTGTTCTACACTTGGTCAGTAATAAGGATTTTGTTTTTCTCCTGTCTCCAAGCAGAGATATCATCCTCCTGTGTAACCATCTGTCAGACTGTTCCCTGCCTTAATAACTTCTGAGTCTACCGGACAATTTCAAATGTAAGCTATTTTCTGACAAGTGCCATGACGGTAAACCAAAATTATTGTTGGGAAGACAGCAGTATAGTATCTGCTGTTTTATTAGAGACCCAAGAATTCACACAGGAGCAAACATATGGAATCCCACAACTTTGTGTCTCCTGGAACTAATCATTGTGTTTGTAAACGCTTTTTCAGTGACCAGAGTGCTGTCCATGCAGTGCTTGGCATAACAAGTAGGAAGATTCTCTGATCCCAGAATTTGTTTCAAAAGATACTTTAGTTCCTATGACAAACACAAGTTTTACTCACAAACGAGTCTGTCTCTATAGACTGTGGTTCCTTTCTTTCCTCCCCATTTTGCCCTTTCCTTATTTTTTTTCTGAATTTACAGAAATCACTATAATTAAAAGCATTTATTCTTCGAAAATATTAAGACATTCTGCTTTTTAAAAAAGCTAAATATTTGTATAGGTCTGCAAACAGTGTCCCTGTTTTCATATATATAGTACAATTTTGTACGTATCTGGCTGCATGTTTCAGGGACGAGTGTCTTCTCAAGTGCCTTAAAAATACATATGTCTGCATATGTGCATTTGCACCTGCAAAGGCCATCTACATTACATCATTTGTGCATTTAGGGTCAAGTACTTTCCTCCCTTCATGTGCTGGATTTGTTCAGTTAGTCTTCTCAGTACATGAGCAGGTCTATCTGAACATCTGCTGAAAAATTGAGGTGTCTATGGATCTAGAAGGAAATCTGTGGCAGAAAATGTCCATTCCCTTCCTCAGATTATAAAAGTCAAATATATTTGTATGTGTATACATGTAAAAGACCATTTTTAATCATGCATAAATTGCATTATCTATATTAATTTTTGGTAAATATGTGCTAATGATGTTTAGGAATACTACATATTTCTATTTTCTACAGGCATTTTTACAGAATCCTATGAAATATCTGCAGGCCTAAGCTTTTACTCAAATTTAGAGTTTTTAAATTGGATTTAGAAAAAGCAACCAGTACTGTATTTCATAAAAGATTATTTAAATACAGTATATTTACTCTTTGATTACCTCAGTTGCATTTTAAGGGCCAATTCCACTCTAAATTATATTGGCTTTAATTGTGCACTAAATCTACATGTCAATAGCCAAATAGTAAATGCCTTGTTGTTCAGATTTATAGATTTCTAAATGGAAGTAGTATTTATTTCACTTTCTAAAATACTAATAGTAATTTCCATCATTCCTCTAATATCCAGATGATACTGAAAAATAGAAGCAAATTTGCGGAAGGACATAAAAAATTATTATGAGCCTGAAGGAACCATTAAAGAAAGATTAACAAAAATCAACATCTTTGGTGTTATTACAACACAGCTGCAGGAAAGGATGATGATTCTCTGCTGTTTTTTCAGTCTCTAATTTTTAGTAGAGGAGAATATAGTAAGTGTTCCAAGAAACTGGAACACTTTCATCTGAGTAAATGTAACAGTAGGAAAATATATGAGAAATGGCAAGGGAAATTTATTAAAATTGGAATTTATATACGTGTAGAATACTTTCTACGGGGAAGTAGTGAAATAGCCATTAAGCCACTAGGGACTAAAACCCGACAAAGAAAGAAACAGCATACCAACTGCCAATATATATAGCTGAGATTTGGTTTATCTGCATTTTGAAACATTTTCAAAAATTAATCATCTTTGGAAAACTTTCAGTTGAATTTTGTGGCCTTTTTTTGCTTTTTAAATGAATACGAAGGAATGAATACTTATTTTATATGTGTTGTTTTGCATGATATATATATATATAGAGAGAGAGAGAGAGAGAGAGAGAAAGCTCTGTATCGTTGGTCTCATAAATCCTGTCCTATTGCTTTTGCTTGCCAGATTGGTACAAGGCAATCCAGGTCATAAAGCCATCAGAAACCCAGGGGCTAATATTCCTGTCTGGGATCTGCTGCAAATTCTGCACGAGTCACCTGCATCCCTAAGTAAATCAGTTGTATCCCCTTTTCCTGAGCACTCATCAGTATTAGCTTTCTGTGGATGGGAAAGCTCTGCCTTGTGAGGAGAAGACACCATGTCCAAGGAGAAGACACCAAGAAGACCAGGCCTGCATAGTGAAAGCAGGCTTCGGTTATGTCAAATAAACTCTTAGAATAAATGAAAAAGTTTTCCTATTGGAAACCTGTGCGTAATCCTTTTAAGCTTTTCCAAAACCAATTCAAAATTTTTCACCATCTTTTCACTAAAACCTCAAATAAACTTGCTACTTGCTACTGGTCTGGAAATCTAGCCCATAATATTGAACACTTCTAGTAGAAAGTCATTCTACAAATAGGGCATACAAGAATAGATCAGGAGAAGATGCATGGAACTAATACAGATTTTTGACCCATCTCAGTCATCCTTTGTTCCTTGTCTCCCATTCCATCTCATGCTCTCCCTAAGTTTATCTGTCTTTTTCACCATAATTCCAGTTATAGAACACTTTCATCAAAGCAAATCTAACAGAGCCATCACTGCTCTTCATTTAATGGTATCTCAGAAAAACTTGTCAGTCATTTCTTTTATCTTAGTGTCTAGGAGAGAAAAAAAAAGGGAAAAAAAAATCTTGTTTTCTTCCTAACAGTTTTTAATGCACCCTTATAATTAACCAACTATCCTGAAGAGTGGAAGTTCTCCCACATTTTTAGTGAAAAAGTCTAAAAAGTAAGCAAAAGTTATTTAAAGTTAATTTTTTTGTGGAACCAAAAGTTCTCCAGGAACTCAAAGAAACATTTCTTGACAGTGAGGGTGGCAGAGCTCTGGAACAGGCTGCCCAGGGAGGTTGTGGAGTCTCCTTCTTTGGAGATCTTTAAAAACTGCTTGGACACAGCCCTGTGCCACGTGCTCTAGGTGACCCTGCGTGAGCAGGGGGGTTGGACTAGGTGACCTCTGAGGTCCCTTCCAACCTTAAGCATTCTATGATTCTATGATTTTATGTAGTATATAATTTCTTATTTATTTAATTAATTTCTATTTAATTTCCATGCTGAGGATATAGGGAAGGGCAAGGCAAGGGAAAGGTCACATCTAATTAATTTGCTGCATCTACCTTACAAATGGCAATATATCAATAAGAATTTAACTGTACCTTTATTGTCATTGTAATTCTGACTTAGTTAAATGACTAGATTTTTTTTTATAGTTAATATTCAGCCTTAGTCTGTGTTTCCTAAATAATTAAACTGGTGTTTAATTGATTGTCTACAGCATCTGATATTCCTCTGTACAATTCTTAACCTTTGTCAAGACATCTGTTATTAAGACATAAAAATTGAAGTAGAAGGGGAGGTGAGGCTTTTATCATCTGAGCTCAGATTTATTGGTATAAAAACAGCAATTGCAGAGGATTGGGCAGAGTTCTGCAACAGCCTGGAAAATTAGTGAAGGCAGATGTGTGATGGGATGCCTCAAGTGACTAACGGAGATTTTTTCCTAATGAGGCATTAGTTCAGTTATCACATTGCTATTCATTAAAAAGAAAAAAAAATAATGCTTTTCTAGTGTGAAGAGAACACTTTGTCACATTTTAGAAGTCCTGCCACTGGAGGACTTTATTTGTTGAAGAATGAATACATGAACACAGACCTACTAGACAAAATGTGTAAGTAGCAGGATAAATGAGGAAAAATGGTGGGCTAGTCTGCACTTTGCTATGATACACAATACTTCATTTTTCTTTCATTCTTCTTAATTATATATTAACATTAACACAAATCAGAATCAAGATAATGGAAATAAGGAAATTCATGTATATAATAAAAAGGAGAATGGCACGATTCAGTTGCCAGTAGTGTTAAGAACACTTTCTTTACAGAGCTCATGGTTGAATGATGTTATCCATTTTCAAACTGAACCTTCATCTTGTTTTGGGGCACTAAGTATATATGTTCATTATGGGAAAGAGCAGTAGGCATGAAAAACTTACAGATGTTGGGTTATAAATAAAGGATGTGAAAGCAAGAGCTGAATAAAACATATATAAACAACACGTGAGCTGTATGGACAGGATTCTTAACATGATCCTACCATTGATGACCATCATTGAGCAAAGAACTTACAAATACAAACTTTAAGTAACATGAGTTCTTGGCGATGAGTAGCAATATTCACAAGGCTTGGCTTAAGCAGATGCTTAATGCTTCACTGCATCAGACTACAAAATCAATTCAGCAGAGGAAATGTTTTGAGTGAAGGAAATATAGTACAGATGGGATTTTGGGGAATAAAGTAATCTTTAAATGCTGCAAATAATGTCTACTTTTTAAAAAAAAAAGTGGAAAAGAATATTGAAATACTGAGGAGTGGAAACCACCCATTCTAACATAGATGTCTTAAACTACACATCTGAGAATAAGCTGGTCACTCTAAATTTCTTTCATAGACACTGAAGAAAGAAATAGGCAACTCCAGAGAACAATCACCTTCTAAATTAGGTGGCTGAAGTGTCTATTTCTCTAGAATAGTTTAGATTCAGGTGAAACTTATTCTTTGACATTTTATAAAATCCTTTTGTATTCTGGCTGACAGTACTTTTTTAATTTGCAAATCCTCTTGGTTTCAGGATGTGCATGTTTATAAGCTTAGGATTCAGCTCAACTTTAAAAGTCTAAATGAAGAGGATTTAATTCTTCTGGTGAAAATAATTCCATTTTGGAATCACTGGAAAAACTGACATCTATTCAAAACTACATCTTTTTGTTTAAAAAGTGATCTTTTTCTTGAATAAATGAATGAAACAAAACAATTCTGAAAGCAAAATTATTTGAAATGACTTCTAATCAATCTATTTTCATTTCATTGGAACTACTCACAATGTCTCCCCCCAGAATCCACTTCCACTAGTGGTAGGTGTATTTTTTTTAATGTTCCTGCTTGTTTAGTGACAAGAAAGTAACATTAAGACTACATGGATCTTTTTGACCAGTAATTAGTCAGCCACCTCTAGGGGGGGACTTTGCCAACCACACAACAGGATGGCTGTGCAAGTCCCACATGGCCCAGGCTGCTGGTGGGATCTCCGGATCTGAGTAAGGCCAGGAGAACCTCCTCTTATCAAGACTGTGCTCCCCATCAGTGCCACTGCTCCTGTACCCTCTCATGGGATGGTACCTGCAGCCATACTCTGTGCTAAGGCTGGTGGGAAGAAGCAGCTCTACATTTACACTGCTTTCTGATGACCTGAAATTCAGCTTTTCCCTGCAAACAAGATAAGGAAAATAATTCTACATTTGTGCCTTGAGTTCCCTGGAGTTTAGACTGTATTAATGGCTATTGGATTCAGAATAAATAAACTGGATGGAAAAATCATTATGTGAGTTCATTTTCTGAATATCAATTTAGTTTCTAAGCTATTCAATAACTTATCCTTAATTTTCAACCCAGAGCATCTCTGAAAATAGTTGAAATTTGGGGCATCATTGCCTTTTCTCCTCCTTACAGAAATGGAATGTGAATGTGGTAGCTGAGCTTATTGAATTTGACATTAGAAGTTGATTCATCTTTTAAAAAACATTTTTACATATTGAATTTTAGCCCTTGAGGAATAGCAAACAATCAAAAATGCACTGGAAAAAAAAATATAAAAAAGGATTTACTGAGAAAGACACATGAATAGCCCCCATCATCTCCACAGCACCTTTTAGAAGAAAAGCATGTGCATAAGATAATAAATAGATTTTAAGGTAAGGCTACTGCAGCCTGATTTGCCAGAGCTATGAACTGAGGAGAATAAGTCCATCAGAAGTTTATGAAAATGACAATTCTATGCCAACTTATTAGATGTTTCTCTGGCATGCTCGTCCTTTGTGTTATATTGATATGTGCTCTGTGGGACTACTTTGCACAGTCAACTGTGTTTATACCATTTTTTCATGAAAATGGGGGAAGTTGTTTTGCTTTGGATATATTTCACGGATATACTCTACAGCTATACAGTGTTTGAATGTGTAAATTTTAGCTATCTATACAAATACCTCCTTAGTATAATTTTATGTACATGCATGCACAAATACACACATAATATGCACATATGCACACAAGAATGTGTCCAGTTTATGTGAAGAATAATCAGGTATACTAGAGCCGCTGCTGAATCACATGGCAGAGTCCAAAGTCTTGTCAGCTGAGCAGCAGCTCTAGCCACAGTGATAACCTGCACTAGATGCATGTATGACTGTGCACTTACTACTTTTTATATTCATTGTCTGCATGATATATATATACCTAGGGATAGAGACATTTGGCTGCCCATGTATTATGTTTGTTGAAACTTGCTATTTGCAGGTGTGCTTATATACACATCTTTTCAAAGAGATATCAAGAGATAATGGAAATGTGAAATGGTTCCGTAATTTGAGCAATAGAGCAGTCAAATGAGCGTCCATAGCATTATGAAATACTACCAACTTACTGTTGTTTTTGAAGAGGGAAGGAAATGAATTTAGGCACCTTATGGAATGATACAAAGAAACCTCTTATGCTTTTAACACCATGAGACATACTTCTAGTTGTTGTGGTAATGTTGTTCATCTCATGGGAGAGACATTTCCAAGAGACTGAGAAAGGAAGCAAACAGGCTGAAAAAGTTTCATAAGTTTCATAGATGTTTCCTAAGTATTAAAATAGAAGCATGCATGAAGAGACAGTGTCATCCAGAATCTTGAAAACACACACACACACACACACACACACACACATGCAGATATAATCAAGTGTGTACACACATGCACAAAGTCTCATAAACAGATCCCCCCAAATTATTAAGGTATACTGATACCCATAATAGGGGAATTTTCTCTGCTTTTCTATTGCAAGCATTTTAGGGAATAGGAATCTCACCAGAACAGACCGTCCAAAAGCAGAGAGTTTAGGGGCATGAAAAGAACAAACAATTTTGTTTGCAATTAGACACTATTCATCTCAGAACCCTACGTGCAGTCTGCCCTATGACTAGGAAAACATTTCATTTACCTACTGCAGTATA